CTGTTAGGGATGTCTGCTGGACTTCAGGCCTTGGATCTGGCTCTGCCTGGAACCTGTCGTGACCTACTCCAATACACCATATTAAAATTTCCTTTTTTATCAGCTTTCCTTATACCGAACCCACCCAAATAAAGTATTTTCCTACTTTCAAACATGAGGGGGAGAGGGAAGAATCCTGTGATAACTGGTATTTGCAATTACTGGTGATTTCTTAGTGCAAGGTAAAGCAAGTTTGTAGTTCTCTAGCATTTAATAACGATTATTAAGACAAGGTAAGAATACACCGTATTGGACTGAATAAAGAAGTTTTCCAAGGAAGTTTCAGTGTTATTGTCACTACCAAACCATACCATGCTCTCCCACTAACCACACTAAAGCTGCCTTTTAAGCTGCAGCACTGCTCTACAACTATATTCCATTTGCTTTGAAAGCGTCAACTTTTTGACTCCTGACGGCAATTTACCATAGCCCTGTCTAGCAAGCAGGCAAAAACACCACAAATCAAGCTATGAAACCAAATCCGTTCGGAGTTTGTGCAACTCAAGCCAATACATGTGCCATAAAATCTAACATCCAGAAACAGTTCGTCTCCATGACCTGCTGCCTCACCTCACAGCAGTATATTCACCCATTGTTATTTTTCTCTCTGTCAGAAAGGACAGAAGAGACAGTTGCCCACCAGAACGCTTTCCAATGGAGAAGAGGGGTGAACGGTCCCCGAGCAGTGTGCTGTGGCCACGGGAGCCTCCCAACCCTCTCTGCTCCAGCCAAAGTGGCGCACTGGTCCCTTGAGCGGGCCGGACAAAGCGACAGAATGTGGTGAAGGGCTTGTAGCCCCAGGAAAGCCTCCCCCCTTCCCCCGCCTCTTTTCCCTGCTCCGGCATTCACTTATCGCAATTCCTCAGCTTTCAGCAACTTTCCTCCTCATCTCCAAGCCCTGGAAACCTCGGGCACACGCCGAGGAGAGGGAGAACAAAAGGGCAAAGAACAAAGAGCCGGGGAGCTGGTAGGAGAGGAGGAAAGGGGGAGCTCCCCCTGCTCGGGTCAGCCCAGGGCCCCCTGCCCAGGGTAGGAGCCTTCCTCCAACGCACACACACCAGATGCGAGGGCTTGCTCAGGATCTGCTTTGTGCCCGACCTCGAAGTGCTCGCTTGCGCCGCTGTGAAATCACTCGGGGAGAGGTGCTCCGCACCGCTCCCCTTCCCTGCAACCGGTACTTTTCCCTCCGCATGGGGCACGAAGCATCCTCGGTGGGTCCCCGCAGGGGGTCGGGAAACCCGCGTCCGGTCCCAACCCCGCGGAGCCGAAGCGGCTTTCGGGAACCACGAGAAAACAAGAGACCAACCCAAGGAAGCTACAAACGTCGCATTCCCTTCAATGTTAAACTTTTGTTCAACTATCACTAAACACCCTTTTATGGGTGATCCTCTCCCCGCCCCCAGATCCCCTCTTACCGAAAAAGACCCTTTCGCAAACCTCCTGCTCCCTCTCTTAGCAGTTAAATACCCCTGAAAAGCTGCAGGTGCCCTCGTTACCTGTTGCTATGAGGCCCCTGCCCTCCCTCCTGGGCGGGGGGGGTGTGCAATTAACTCCTTTTTCGCTGTGCTCGTCCCATGCTGGCTGCAGATGCTGAGAGCCCAGCCAGGGGCAAACCCCGGCTGAGGGCAGGGAGCGAGGGGGGACTTGTGTGTGTGCTTGGGCAGGATGGGTAGCAGTGCGGGAGGTCCTGGGGGTCTCTCAATGCTGCCCGACTTCAACCGCGGGGCAGGGATAAGCAAGCAACGGCTGCGAGCGGGCAGAGTAGCGATCGTGTCATCCAGTTACCGAGGGACCGCGTGCACCGAGTGCCGTCCTGCAATCACCTTTTGAAGAAGGACGAGGAGTTATCATCCTTCTTCTTAATTGACAGGGTTCCTCACTGGAGTAAGAACTAAAGGAAATCAGAGCTTTACCCTAGAAACTTTTAGAGGGGTTGGGTTTGTAGGGTTTTTTACCCTTCCTCTTTAATTTAAGCTAGAAGTGGGCTAACAGAACCTCACTTTTCTGAAGGCGAAATTAATCTACTCCTTGATCGGGAGTGGAAGCGAGTAGCGAGCATGCTGCAGGGATGGAAGGGGTGCCCGCGGAACCGGGCCAGGAGCCGGTCCGGGTCCAGCCCTGGTCTTACCGAACCCAGTGAGACGGGGAAGAGCCCCCTGTCCAGCAAGCCTCTGCCCCGAGCATCTCTCAGCAGCGAGGTCAAACAGAGGTGGGGAATGAGAAAACCAGGCTGAAATCCTGTGGCTGGCAAAGGAGAAGCGTGAGGTGCAGCTAAAACACGCGTTTGCTTGGAAGCTGCGCTGGGAGCCCGAGTCAAACTTCAGCCCAGCCTGTGCCCTGAGTTAACTAAACTCAATTACTTGCCTCCGTGTAAAATGGTTTCGCGTATGTGAGGAAATCTGAGAGGCTGAGAAGTCTGTTTTTGTTATGATTTAATCACATACATTAAAGAAGGTCAAGCATACGCCCAATTTGGGACTTCAAATAGAGGAAAAAAAAAGCATTAGTTCTGAGGGACGCTCTGCCCAAACCCTCTCCTGCTGCACAGAGCAAAGCTGAGGCTCTCGGAGTCCACTCATCTCATTACAGCTGGCTGTTTGGGGTTTCTCTTTTCCTCCTAATGGAGTAACCTTTCATAAGTGATTGCAATTTCGGGGGGGAAAGGGAGAGTAGGTGCCAAAACAAGCTGGGGGTGGGGCGGAATTTTGCTTTTCAAGCAATTTAGCAGAAAGCAATTCTGCTTACAGCAGAGACGTAGGTGGATACTTGAAAACATCCTCCACCGGGGTGTCCTACTTTAGCAATTCTAATTAAAACAAGGTTTTAAAGATGCAAAGAAAGAGTAAGCTTCTTGCTTTATTTCCAATGGGCGTGGGGGATACAGTCAGGCACAAAGTGCTTCCAGCTTGTTCTAACGTGCACCTTTGTTTAAAAGAAAAATAATAATAATAATAATTAAAAAAAAACCCCAACCCTACAAAAAAAAACAACAAACAACATTCAAGCTCGTCCTCTGATTTCAACTAATGTATTTTTAACTGGATTTCTTTCCTTTGCTTTGTCTGATCTGATCCCTATCGCGCAGCCCTGGCCCACTTTCAGCCCTGCGAGTGCCCTGTATTGTGTGCGTTGCCTGTAAGACAAGGGGAAAGTCTCCCATCGCACACTTTCCTATACCTGTGCTCGGGAACTGAACAGTGCCCAAGCTAGTGGACAGCAAAGTACGGATCCTGCTCTTCTTCCCGCTGCCTAACCAGAGAGGAGCTTTGCCTTTGCAGGTTCAGCCTGGCTCACACGGCTGTGAACGTCCAAGCACCTTGGATCAATAAAGCAGCCAGTTTTCTGACGCTTCTTTTCCACGGCTGCCTATTGAAAAGGAGGCGCTGCCGCCACCTATAAATACCGCTGGATCTAAGTCACTGCTTTTTTTTTTTCTTTTTCCCTTCATTTTTTACCTTCCCTACGTAAAGCAGCAAAGTTATGACCAAGACACCTCAAGTTCTTCTCTCCGAGGGGCTATGCCGGAGGTTCCCAGCGCCAGTCTCAGCTGCGCTGGAGCCTTTGAAGGTCGCAAAGGGCTGCGGCGGACCCGCACCGGCTGCCTTTGAACTTTGTTCACAGGCGTGTAGAGGGAGAGGAACAAATACCGATACTCACGGTGCTCTTTGGCTTTCCAGGTGTAACTCCGTCTCTCCCTCTTCTTTGTGTATAAACGAGCAGAGGTTACATCCCGGGCACACGTTATAATGCCCTCGATAACCCCGACCCTGTTAATTTAACGCTACGCTAACCTAAGAGTGTGTGATTGGAGCTCAAAGTGTTTGGTTTAGAAAAGCGCATCTCCATGCTGGAAACAAGTAGCCTTCTCTGCCCACACCCCTCCTTTCCACGGGAAGAGTCTCCCAGCCCTTCATTCCTCCACAAACCAGCACACCTACCTGTCCGACAGCCACCTTTCCTTCCCATCACAGATCCCATCTTCCCCCCCACCTTCTCGAACCAAATCTGTGCAGTTTCTTAAACCCACGTGCTATGGCTGCTGCGTGGGGCTCCAGTTCCTGCACCGAGCCCCGCCGAGGGCTCGCACCTCCCCACCGGGGAAGGGTCCGCGGGGGCCCCTCGCTCCCCAGAGCCTCCCGCATGGCCCGAAGGAGCGGGGTGCTCGTCTGGGCCGGTGACTTCTGGGCGCGGAGCGATCAAGCCGCTTCACCCCACGCTCTGTCTCCCTGTTCGTATTTATTTTTATGTTTTATTTCCCTGATAATTCCCCCAAATGGGAATTGACGAACACAGCTCGTTACCCGCGCTGATACCGGGGTAATAACCGTCAGAGGGGCTGAGCGCTCCAGGAAGAGAAAAGCGGAGGCAGAGGGAGGGATGCAACCTCCGTTATCTCTCTGCTACTAATTCCCAGCCGGCTAGGACTCAGGGGACAAGACGATCGCTTAACAAACCCTCCTCCTCCTCTCCCTCCACGACTCCTTCCTTCCTTCCTTCCTCTTCTCCGGCACATTTTCTCCCCCGCGCTCGCCTACGTTTCATTCCTTCTCTTCGGGAGGAATAAGCCGTGAAATCCCAAATTAAAAAGAGAAAGGGAAAAAAATAAGAGAAGAAAATATGGGAGGGAGGGACACAGGAGGGGAAATTAGAAGGAAGAAAAAAAAAAAAAACAAACAGAAAGGGGAGGGAGAAAAGGACAGAAAGTGTCTGTGCCTGATCGCTGACCATCTGTGCAAAAGGTGATCGTCGCTGGGTACTCACATGGCTGGTGGCAGAGCAGCTCTGGGCAATTAATAAGTCTCTCAGTTTGAGCTCTTCTCTCTCCTTTAGGAGGGCAGCTCTCTCCGGGGTCTCCCTCCCTCACACACAAACCCGATCAGATGCTTCAGGACCGGCCACTTTGCGAGGGGATCAACACGGGAGGGTTTGTATTACTCCAGGTTCGTGTGTGTAGCCTATAAATAGCGAACTTTTTGATGGAATCAGCTAACAAATGAGAGGAGAAGGCGTAATTTTGCGCAGGGAGCCCCCCTTTCTCTTTGCAAGATTAAAACCCCCCAGGCAGCGAACAGAGCTAAACTTGTGGGTGTGTGGAAAGGAATTTCACTTTATCGTGATCGTGCGAGAGATTTTTGTTTGTTTGTTTATTTGGGGGGTTGCTTTTGTGTGTCGTTGCCCGTTCCCCCCTCCCCCCCCCCTCCCCCCCATACGTGACATCCTCCCTCCCTGTCTTCCCAGCCAGGGGCAGGAACTGACCCGGATTAGCACCGACTTTAACTCCAAACTGGAAATACGGTGCGTTTGCGGGTGGGTTATTTTTGGTTGAGGTTTTATTTTGGGGGGATTGGGGAGGAGATAAGCGGGGTCCACGCGGTATCGGTTGGAAGTGAAGGAGGAGGGCAGGCTTTCCTGAATGTGCCCTCACTTTGAAGGCGAGCAGGGAACAGGAAACAGGTCGGAATTATTGGGGGGGTGCATGTGTTACTCTGTTAGGGATGAAGTGTTTGCCATGGACCCACTCGTGAGAATGCCACGTGAAACACTCTGCTCCCCCCCGACCTGCCGCCAACCGCCGCTAAACGAGGCTTCTCTCGCGTTTGCTCAAGAGCCCGGCTGCCCCCGAACCGGCCCGAAAGCTCGCCCCGGGCTTGCCCCATTCCCCTCCGGGGGGCCGGTACTAGCTGAGCCCCCCCCTCCTCTTCCTCCCCGCGGGCGAAGGCTCCCGGAGGCTGTCCCTCCTCTCGCCGCTTCTTGCCCGCCCAGCTCCCTGAGCTCATGTGAAATCCTTTCCTCTGCCGGGCTCCCGGCTTCTCGCAAGTGATTTTTAGCAGGTCTGTCCATACACATTTCCAATCTCATGGCTCATAAACTATTAGCAGCGGGATTTCATTATTCACCTTCTGTATCCTACAAAGGAGAGATAAAAATATACACGCTCCTGGTAACACGGAGACCAGGGCTCGGCTTATATCACGGCGCTTCCCGCCGCCCGGGTGCGCAGCCCTGCCTCTGCCCCGGTTCGGCCCAGCCCGGCTCCGTGGGGTTTCTCTGGTTTATTGCTCCGGAGGGACCGAGGCGATAAGCCTCGCACGGGGGAAAGCAAACCCGTGATTTGTGTTTTCCTGGAAGTGGAGAAAATGCTCCAGAAGAAAGAGTAAAATCTCGGGGAGGGAAGGATGGGGACGGCGGCTCGACGTAGCCTGGTTTTATTCTCTTTTCTGCACTAAATAACGTCAGGAGTTACTAGTTCTCTCCCGAAATGGGACAAATTGCATTGCAGGGCGGGAAGTACAGGCTCCCCGTGCTATGCGGGATGCGGGAGGGATTCGCCGGGCAGCAAACCCCAGGGCCTGCCAAGAGTCGGGAGGCTGGGACGGCTATTGAAACACAGGACCCGATCCAGGCAAAGTTACTGAATGCGTGGCCTGAGACAGACAGAAATGTTAATACCGTGACAGCCGAGTTTGTTTCTATTTCCCCCCCATTTTAAAATTGTTCTTTAAGAAACGGGATTCGCAAAAGTTTAGCTCATGAGCTAATTTTAAAAACCAATGTAGAGGGTTTTAGAGGGAGACCCACTTCGCAATTTTACACCGAGGAGCAAAAACGTTCTGGCGGAGGCTGCGGTCACCACCGACAACGGAGCGGCGTTCTCTCCCTGTTTAATATACATGGTGTGGGAAATGAAGGGAAGGCAGAGCTAGCACCTGTAGTGCCAAAGGAAAAAAGAAATCAATCAAATTGCTGCATCACATTTTGGGGCAGTTTCGCAGGACACTTATCAAAAATAGACCCATATTTAATAATATCTCTCATGATTTTCTCCGCGCGGCTCCTAGTTAATAGTAATGGGGTTTCTACTAAGGTTTTACGTTCTGATAAATACGTGTTTTAGCTGTTTATCGCGCGCTTGGGATTACAAGCAAGCAATCCGGACCAACTTTTGATTACTGCGCTGACCTGCTGAAGAAGCAGACTACCTCAAAACAATACAATAGGCGTTATGCCGGTACTCACGGCGCCGGACCCTGCAAGCTCCAGGGCTCTTTTCCCCTTTTCAGGGCGGGTGTGAGCCCGGAAAGGGGGAAAAAATGCGCAAGTAGCCCTGGGGTGAAGCTCCAGCCCGACCCCTGTCCTCCCCCTCGGGGCCGCCGCCAACCGCGCAGCCCCGCGCATCTTGCGCGGTTGGCGGCGGCCCCGAGGGGGAGGGCGGGGAGTGGTTATCGGAGCCTCTCCGCAGCGTGTGCGAGGGAAAGGCCGTGGCAGAAAGGCGGAAGATTTGAGCTTTTCGGGTTTATAAGCACCGGTTCACACGTGGGTGCGCCCCGCAGTGAAGCGCAAAGAGAGGTCAGCGGCCTGAAATACCACCTCCTTTTCTCCCTACTTTCTCCTCACCAACGCTTTATGTTTGTCTTCTTCTTTTTTTTCCTCCCCTTCCTTTTTAAATTAGTGTTTTTTCATTATTTCTATTTTTCTTATTCCCATACAGACTTCAGGCAGGTTAGATGCCTGCCTTGTACTCCCCCTGTCCCTTGTCGCCAGTACAAGGACTGGCGTATGTTACTACTGAGTTATACTTTAACTTCTCCACAGGCAATAATTAAAGAGCTTCTCTCTAAACCCTTTTCCCCACAGAAACTCCTAGGCTTTCTTTTGCAATAGATTATATTGATCACACACACTCGGGCGTGCTGCTGCAGATCGCACGAGGCAGGTAGAACTGAAAGAACTGCTCTCAATTTCATGCACTCTGTACACTCTCCTACACCTTCCCCCCTTATTTTATTGAGCTGGAAGGTTTCTTTAGGGATGCATTGCTATAAACACTTCCAAATCCCATTTCCCCCCTCTACTTCCATCCCCAAAAGTAAGATCCACATGCGAAAGCAGACTGACAGTTGCCGAGCACGCATCCAGGCTTTGGCCATGCCTCCACATTTTGTCCCATAGTCACATTGTGGGTGAGTTTAAAAATCAGATATCTAGATATATACAGATATTCATATATATGTATGTATACATATGATGTACTGACACAGATCAATCTGTGGACCTCCAACTTCTAGCAGCAATGCTTTCCAAAGAAAACCTTCATCCTCGTCTTAACAGCTGCACTGAAAGTTTTAGGGGGTCTGAGTTACTTGAAATCATAAATTAATCTGCCAGAGGAGTGCAGGCACACACCTGATATCAAGAGAGGGTCAAGAGCTGGCCAGCTCCAGCTGGTCCCACATTTGATTTACTTCAGGCCGTTAAGATGTATACCGTGGTGTTTTGATAAGAAAATAGGAGTCAGCAGTTTTATTTGGCAATTCTCTCTCTTTTGTTTTCCCCTTCTTTTTTCTCTGAAGAGGACCGCAGTTTAAGCTGAGGAATTTGTTATTGCTGCTGGAGTGGTTTTAAGCAGAGGTTCTCAGTCTGCATGGGGCTATCTCATCATTTGCTGTTAACACTTAACTGTGTTTCCTCCTCTCCTAAGCGAGTCAGAAAGTGGCATCGACTCTAATGCAGCTTGTCCATCTCAGGCCTCCGGTGTCTCCAGCTTGTGCCTTTGCTGGGGTTCACTCCAGTCTGGGTACTTGGAGCAACAGCAGTGGCCATCTCCTTGCTGGTCCCTGCCACATCTCTAGCCCTCACACTTCTCTCTTCCACAGGGCATTGCAGCAGGGGCCTCAGAAATAGGGGATTTGTATGCTTTTATTCTCATATGAGCTGAACTCAGGAGGCTGCTTGTTCTTAGTGGAAATAAACTATGATTTGCAGATACCTCCTGCCCCCAAAACTTGATCACAGAGAGTTAAATCACAGAAAGAATGTAAGGGGTGTACGTCTGAGGTGTGTGTCTGCGCAGGGTAAAAGAGACCCACAATACTCCAGCTGGAAGACCATCGCGCAAATAACACCCATCAGGAGCGGGTCCATAAAGGCGGACTAAGAATCAGATCAGAATGTTTGGATACTATCCCTGATTTTTTTTCTCCTTTCCTCCTGTTTTATTTGTTTTGCCTCTAAAATAGGGAAATCAGAGCCATTTACGCTATTGCCTTTCCATGAAGCTATATGATGTTTGAAAGAAAATCAGAAGTACTCAGAGGACATAATCTGTGGCCATATTCCGAGGTGGATATGCTGCCGTTCCCTGTATTGGGGTTGGCAAACACTTCTCAGCAGAGACCATATTTTCTGTGGCATGTAGCTTTAGAAAAAACATCATCACTTAGGCTGAAAACTGATATCCCCTCTGTACTGGGCAGATTATTTTGAAAATACCTGCCAAAACAATTTGTCCATTTCCAAGAACAAGGTTATGGAAAAATAAACAGTTTTGCTCATACTAAAATGGAAACTTTTCTTTTTTTTTTTTTTTCCTTCGAAATGCTCTGCTGCCCTCAGGCTTTGAAGCACAGACTCAAAATGTGACCTTTTATTGTATTTAAGATGTGCCTTTCCCTCTCTGCCTGAAAATTTATCCAAATGTGGCTAACTTGTGAATATTAGACATTCTGTCATGAACACAATTTCAGTAATGATTTCTTTTATTCTAGCAGAAGAAAGGAATCGCTAAAGATTGGCCGTCTCTGCAAACAGAAGCTTAAGTGGTAAGACCAGATTTCACCTTTAATCCCCACCTCCAAATTTCCCCCATGAGCCCGAGCTTTGGCGCAGAATCAGAGGTAGGAATCCTCTTTCTTTCAAGCTCTGACCGATTTGAAGGTTGTGTCAAGAAGAAAGGTCTCTGCATGAATACAACGGGGAGAAAAAAGCAATGTGACAGAGCAGACGGTAGAAGCAGCCAAGAGAGAAAGAACTGGAACTGGTGTTTGGAGGCAGGACCCTGGGACTGGTTAGGTAAGGAGACACAGAGGTTGTGCAGAGAAAGCAGAGAGGAACCATTCGGTTGAGGAGCCTGGAGGGGAGGTAGGAGGACAGGGATGGTAAAACTGACTAATGTTGTCAGCCAAGAGCATGGGTGAATAATTGCAGGATGTCCGGAGTAGCTGGGCTGAATTTCACATCAAACATGGTAGGAATTCTGAAAGTCAAAATGTTTTATTTCACTGTTTTTAACTGATGCAGTTCAGCTGCATCATTATTGCTTTTTATTTGGTACAGAGGCTGCTTTTGAATGCTTAGAACGAATCAAGTATTTCCAAGATGATCCAAAACATTTTTTAAATGATATTTTTTGTGTGTGTCACCTCTGAACTAATGAAACATTATATATACCTCACTAGCCACGAAATCAGGCACTGGGATGTTGAGGAAATGACTAAGCTGAAGGTTTTAGAGCACCTGGATTCAGTCTCATACATGGCCACGCAGATTTTATTCCACAAATTTCCTAAAGCAGAAATGAAACCTCACAAGGTACACTTCCCCTGGGGACACAGCAGAACTCTGTAGTTTTTATTCACTGGATTCCTGTCTAATTTGTCACAGAATTGGGCATGGTTCATGTACGAGGTAGAGGATCACAGGAAGACAGAGCAGGGCTTTGTGGAAGGGAATAGCTGGATTTTGCCTACGGAGTTTGCTTCCATCCCCTTTTTACCTCAAGTCTTCTATAATGTGGGGCAAGTTGCCTCATGAGATAATGGTTAACAGATATTTTCATATTATGGACCCATCTTGTTGTTTTTGGGTCCGGTAGGTGGAAGTGAATCATTCACTACCTCAGATAAAGTCCACTGGGCTGTGCATTGACTATACCAAGTGATGCAGAGTGCCAAACCAGTTGAAAAATCAAGTAGACAATATCCTTAATTGGATACCCAAAATTAGCAGACATTTTTTACTTTAACCTATTTGTTTGGAATAGAGATTTATAAAAAAAGGATAGGATGATCCTATCTCTTAAATTTCAAGTTGTAAAAGATGTTTGCTAAGCGTGGTGGGGAGAGGAACAGCCAAAAACCCAAAGTGTTGGGTTCAGGTTAGGATTTGTGTGCCCCAGATAAAACCTAGAGTCCCATAAAAGTAAGCTTGACAGTGAACACTAGCACTTGAAGAAAGCTTTGCTCACATACTACTCTGAATGCCAAACGAGTACTTGTGAAGAAGATCAAGCAGAAAAGTCCCCCTGCCCTGTCAAATTGCATTCATATACCATTGCACAGGAACGGATGAAACAAAGGCTTTGTAAAGTTATTCATTAGAAGGGGGAAGAAGGGAGATAAAAAAGGAGAGGGACAAGCCCATGGTGTCAGAGAACACGGGAATAAGGTGCCGACCCAGAAGAGACCAAAGTGCATGTCTTTACTGGTGATTGTATCTGGGGTACCTCCATTTCAGGTGTACACCACAGAGACTTGCCTTTCTGTTACTGCACAGAATCTTTCCCTTCATTTTCTAAAACCTTTCCAGTTCCTTCAGAACTAACATTTTCCTGTTACATAGTCTGACTTTTGAGGAAAACAGTTTTTCCTGGAAAATTCTTCATCATCTCTCCAAGTACAAGATGGTGTAATTAAAGGCTGTATGTGCATCTGCACAAGGGATTGGTATTGAGCAGCGTGATTAGCTTTCATTCTCTTGCTTCCTACTGGCTTTAAACGTTTATAGAGCCTGTAATGCTCTCTTAATTTGAGTATGTGTGTGTGTATGTGTGCAATATTTTATGGCTACACAAGATTTATCCCCTACCTAATTTACTGCTGTTCTTAATTTTCATTAAAATATAGGGTTTTCCATCAGTTCCTTATCGATTTTAATTCTTTGATTTTTCATGTCAGTCAGCCCCACTGCAAACGTAGGGGTATTAGTAATAGCTCACTTATTTTAACAGGTGTTTTTTATTTTCACTGAGTTGAGTACTTATGAAAGGTAGTAGGTTAATAGCTTTTAGGAAGTATTTTAGCTCATCTGCTCATTAGGTAACACCTCTGTCCTACCAAAGTCAAGCATAATAGCAAAAGGGTGACCAGACTGGAGAGCTGAAATATCCTCTGACTTTTCGGTTGTCAATTAGCACATATTTAATAGCTTATTTCATTGGTAACACTGGCACCTATCCAGTGGGAATTAGACCAACGCTTTCAAATGATTTCTGGTGGATGGGTTTAACGTTAACAACCCAGATTGCCTACATGGGGCTGGATTTGACCAAGCAACAGGAAAAAAGCCCTACTCTTCAACTTAAGAAATTATGTTTTCTGTGTTACAAACCAAAAAGCTCCAGAATCGCTCTCCCTTTTGGTCGTAGAGATAGGAAGTACACCGTCAGGCACGTGGTCCTGACCTCAGCTGAAGAGTCTTTGACAGGAATCAAGCAGTCACTGCACTCTCTGAAATGGTCAAATTAACTGTCTGCTTAGCCATGGATTAAAATTCACTGATCAAGACAACAAGTGAGACAATAGTTTGCTCCTCCTACTTTACCCTACAGCAGATCCTCATAAAATCAGAATGGTTAGGGTTGGAAAGGGTTTTAAGATTACCTAACCTTCAGTTCAGCATCAGGATTTTTTTTTTTTTCCCCCAGAAGTAACCATCATACCTGAAATAACTTGAACAAATGGGATACGTAAATGCAAATGTCAAAAAGGAAAACTGATCCAGTTTTTTAGTAACACAGAAACTGTACAAGAGCAAAGAATAAAGACAGCTTCAGGAGTCCTGATTCACTCAGCAGTCACCATCATTTTGAGTAGTAACTTGCAACAAATAAAGTGCTGTTTCCCCTCAGCAAGGACCTTTTCAGCATTGCTTTCACAACCACAGCCTAACTCTGCATCTCTAACAAGCCACGGGCTTGAGTGAACCATTGTAAACTGCTTAATGCTTTCTAGAGAACTCAAATATGTGAAGTACCCAGTGTATAAAAGAGAGAGCTTATTGCAAAACCAAGCATAACAAAACTGACCTGCTGAGAACAGGGCGTCTGTCTTTTCACATTGGTATTAGGTACCGAGCTTGGATTTAGTAACAAAGCAACATATGCTTCCAAGTCCATCATTTTTATACCAATATACAAGACAGAACAACTAATATAGTCTCAATTATGCAATGCAAGGGTGGCCATCTGGCTGCTCAGGAATTGATTTTGACCCAGATAACAGCAAACGTTTTTGTATCAGAGACAAATTTTTTAGGTGTGACATTCACATCTTTATTAAACAACATTAATAAAACCAAAATAATTTCAAGATGCAGTACAAAAGTCATGTTGATGAAAAAGAATATATTCAGTGGTGTATTTATATACCCTACATTATCAGTCACCTTGCAGAGCTAGATTCCTCTCACCATAGCCAATACTAAAATATATATATGTATATATACAAAAAAATCCTTTCTCAGTGTATCTGACCAAGTTAAAGATCTACTATACATGTCAATGAAGCTTTACTATTGCTTATAATGATAATCCTGTATCATCCCACCCCTGAAGTGTGTATATCTCAATCATGAATATATGGGTCATTGCATAAAGACGTGTACCTATTTTGATGTACTGTATCTGTATGTATCTCAAAGGCTCCAAAACAGCAGTAGGGGTCACAATAAATAGTTTGAGCATAAGGTTAACACTGCAATAGCATTGCAATATTTCATACATATATGTTCAAAGGCAAAGGTTTGATAAATACACTGATGATATAAGTGGCTTGGACACTCCTAGCATAAATTTAGAGAGAGGAGTAGAATAAAAAGTTTATTCTCATTTTCTGGGCATAAGGATGCTTCTTCCTACTAGCAGTGGCCACTAGTCCATCTTTGTCATACTCGTTCAAAACCTCATGGCTCACTCACCCATACCGCCAATAGATAGAAGGTGAAAGGCAGAGTTTTCTGGGAAAGTAAGCTTAAGATGATGAAGATATTCTGGACCTGCCACGTGGCCTCAGCAGTCCATTCCCAGGGAAGGTTTGCAAAGGCATAAAAAGGAGTTAGGCATCTAACTTGGCCCAAGGAAGAGTCAGCCTCCCTACAGGCAGCTGAGTGTCTGCCTTTCACTGAGTTCAACTTGACAAGAATCATAGGATAGTTAACGTTTAAACTACTTTCACGGGGTGTTTTGTTTTGTTTTGCTTTTTCCTCAGGGCTTTTTTCTTTGTCAGGGTTACTTCACCTTTATGTGAATGAATAGCATATACAGGCTTTGTTGTGACACATAGCAGAGAAGTGGTAAGTTCTTGAGATCTGTCAGCTATAGTTTGTGACTTTCACTAAGTTTGCAGATTAGTTAAGCTCTCCCTTCAAAATCCAGAGTGGATTTTAAACTATGTATCTGTGATGATTAAATGTCCTGACAATAATTAAAGTGAAAATTCTGTATATTTGAACTCTCACTATTGAGTGGAAACTACTGTAAAAACAGATGTATGCTTTCATTGCAATAGACATATTAACGTTTTGTCCTGTATAGAATACATGAGTAAGGACAACAGTATAGAAAACTTAGAAAGTCTCCATCTTCTGCATGGACAAAATGAGTGATGATGATGAAGAGTGTAGAATTGCATGTGAAGATCAAACACACTCATAAATAGGGGTGCTGAGATGAATAAAGACAGAAGTTACTTCCCAGCCATCATATAAACCCTCAACACTATCCTATTTTAATGATTTTATTACCATAAGTTACACCTGAAAAATA